TCAGACATGACTCTCGGTACTGTGGAATTCTTGTATTGTCGCTGGTCCTGTGTGTGTGTGTGTGTGTGTGTGTGTGTGTGTGTGTGTGTGTGTGTGTGTGTGTGTGTGTGTGTGTGTGTGTGTTGTTGTGTGTGTGATGTGTGTGTGTGTGTGTGTGTGTGTGTGTGTGTGTGTGTGTGTGTGTGTGTGTGTTTCTCACCTAATTGTAGTTGCAGGGGTCGACACTCAGCTCCTGGCCCCGCCTCTTCACTGAACGCTACTAGGTCCTCTCTTTCCCTGCTCCATGAGCTTTATCATACCTCGTCTTAAAGCTATGTATGGTTCCTGCCTCCACTACATCACTCTCCAGATTGTTCCACTTCCTGACAACTCTGTGACTGAAGAAATACTTCCTAACATCCCTGTCACTCATCTGTGTCTTCAACTTCCAGTTGTGTCCCCTTGTTGCTGTGTCAAATCTCTGGAACATCCTGTCTCTGTCCACCTTGTCTATTCCACGCAGTATTTTGTATGTCGTTATCATGTCTCCCCTGACCATCCTGTCCTCCAGTGTCGTCAGTCCGATTTCCCTCAACCTTTCTTCATAGGACATTCTTCTTAGCTCTGGGACTAGCCTTGTTGCAAGCCTTCGTATTTTTTTTTAATTTCTTGACGTGCTTGATCAAGTGTGGGTTCCAAACTGGTGCTGCATACTCCAGTATGGGTCTGACGTACACAGTGTACAGTGTCTTAAACGATTCCTTACTGAGGTATCGGAACGCTATTCTCAGGTTTGCCAGGCGCCTGTATGCTGCAGCAGTTATCTGGGTGATGTGTGCCTCAGGAGATGTGTTCGGTGTTATACTCACTACAAGATCTTTCTTTTTGAGCGAGGTTTGTAGTCTTTGGCCACCTAGCCTATGCTCTGTTTGCGGTCTTCTTTGCCCTTCTCCGATCATCATGACTTTGCATTTGGCGGGGCTAAATTCGAGAAGCCAGTTGCTGGACCAGGTGTCCAGTCTGTCCAGGTCTCTTTGTAGTCCTGCCTGATCCTCATCAGATTTAATTCTCCTCATTAACTTCACATCATCTACAAACAGGGACACTTCTGAGTCTAACCCTTCCATCATGTCGTTCACATATACCAAAAATAGCACTGGTCCTAGGACCGACCCCTGTGGGACCCCGCTCGTCACAGGTGCCCACTGTGATACCTCATCTCGTACCATGACTCGTTGTTGCCTCCCTGTCAGGTATTCTCTGATCCATTGCAGTGCCCTTCCTGTTATACGCACCTGACCCTCTAGTTTCTGCACTAATCTCTTGTGAGGAACTGTGTCAAAGGCCTTCTTGCAGTCCAAGAAAATACAATCAACCCACCCCTCTCTCTCGTGTCTTACTTCTGTAACTTTGTCATAAAACTCCAGAAGGTTTGTGACACAGGATTTTCCTTCCATGAATCCGTGCTGGTTGTTGTTTATAATCTTGTTCCGTTCCAGGTGCTCCACCACTCTCCTCCTGATAATCTTCTCCATAACTTTGCATACTATACACGTCAATGACACAGGTCTATAGTTTAGTGCCTCTTTTCTGTCTCCTTTTTTAAAAATGACAACTACATTTGCGGTCTTCCATACCTCAGGTAGTTGCCCAGTTTCCAGGGATGTGTTGAAGATTGTGGTTAATGGCACACACAGTATATCTGTTCCCTCTCTAAGGACCCACGGGGAGATGTTGTCCGGTCCCATTGCCTTTGAGGTATCAAGATCACTCAGCAGCTTCTGCACCTCCTCCTGTTGTGTGTATGTCATCCAACACTTGTTGGTATATTCCCTGTTGGTGTCCTCCTCTGTCCTGTCTTCCCAGAGTCCTTCCTGTCTCCACTGTAAATACTTCCTTAAATCTCCTGTTGAGCTCCTCACATAACTCTTGATCGTTTCTTGTGAGTTCCCCACCTTCTGTCCTCAGCCTGATCACCTGGTCTTTGACTGTTGTGTGTGTGTGTGTGTGTGTGTGTGTGTGTGTGTGTGTGTGTGTGTGTGTGTGTGTGTGTGTGTGTAAACCACAGGAAGGATGCAACCCACCGGATATGACACTCCACCCACCTCACCCTGCAACCCACTCCTGCATCCCACCCCTGCAACCCCGTCCTGCAACCCACCCCTGCAACCCTGCAACCCACACCTACGCACCCCTGCAACCCACTCCTGCATACCCCTGCAACCCACCCCTGCAACCCACCACTGCAGCCCTGCAACCCACCCCTCCTACACACCCATGCAACCCACTCCTGCATCCCACTCCTGCAACCCACCCTGCAACCCACCCCTGCAACCCTGTAACCCACCCCTCCTACTACCCCTGCAACCCACTCCTACATCTCACTCCTGCAACCCACCCCCAAACCACCTCTGCAAACCACCCCTCCCTCCCACCCTTGCAACCCACTCCTGCATCCCATCCCTGCAACCCACCCCAGCAAACCCCCCCTCCCTCCCACCACTGCAATCCACTCCTACATCCCACCCCTGCTACCCACCCCTGCAAAACACCCCTGCAAACCACCCTCCTACCCCCCCCTGCAACCCACTCCTGCATCCATCCCTGCAACCCACTCCTGCATCTCACCCCTGCAACCCACCCCAGCAAACCACCCCTCCCTCCCACCCCTGCTACCCACCCCTCCTTCCTCCCTACAACCCACTCTTGAGAATTTAACGCTTACCCTCTGACTGCCACACGTACCACATTTATTTCTAGTTTCGTACCCTCGTTATTCTTCCGATTTTAAACGTACGTAAGGTAACGTAAAGTTACGTTACTTGACGTAACTTGAAGATAACTTAGGTCCGTCAGAGTGTAGAAGTATTGCCAGTAACTTACTGAGCTTCAGCCTAACTTTCACCAGAGTTACCAGAACGGAAACATCACTCTTCCGAGACGTGCTGTAAGGATGCTGCGTCTCGCCCATACTTAACACTGTCATCTAGCACAGTAACACTGGTGTGGTAGATAGATCGTTATTATTGATAGATATTGATAGATCATTATTACTGGTAGATCATTATTACTGATAGATAGATCATTATTACTGATAGATAGATAATTATTACTGATAGATCATTATTACTGATAGATAGATCATTATTACTGATAGATAGATCATTATTACTGATAGATCATTATTACTGATAGATAGATCATTATTACTGATAGATCATTATTACTGATAGATAATTATTACTGATAGATCATTATTACTGATAGATAGATCATTATTACTGATAGATAGATCATTATTACTGATAGATCATTATTACTGATAGATCATTATTACTGATAGATAGATCATTATTACTGATAGATCATTATTACTGATAGATAGATCATTATTACTGATAGATCATTATTACTGATAGATAGATCATTATTACTGATAGATAGATCATTATTACTGATAGATCATTATTACTGATAGATAATTATTACTGATAGATCATTATTACTGATAGATAATTATTACTGATAAATAGATCATTATTACTGATAGATAGATCATTATTGCTGATAGATAGATCATTGTTACTGATAGATAGATCATTGTTACTGATAGATAGATCATTATTGCTGATAGATAGATCATTGTTACTGATAGATAGAAACATTATTGATGATAGATAGATCATTGTTACTGATAGATAGATCATTATTGCTGATAGATAGATCATTGTTACTGATAGATAGATCATTATTGCTGATAGATAGATCATTGTTACTGATAGATAGATCATTGCTACTGATAGATCATTATTGCTGATAGATAGATCATTGTTACTGATAGATAGATCATTATTACTGATAGACAGATCTTTATTACTGATAGATAGATCATTATTACTGATAGATAGATCATTATTACTGATAGATCATTATTACTGATAGATAGATCATTATTACTGATAGATCATTATTACTGATAGATCATTATTACTGATAGATCATTATTACTGATAGATAGATCATTATTACTGATAGATGAGTGTTGACACATACTTCTGATAGATAGATCAGTGTTGATACATACATCTGATAGACAAATCACTGTTGATACATCTGATAGACAAATCACTGTTGATACATACATCTGATAGACAAATCACTGTTGATACATACATCTGATAGATAAATCACTGTTGATACATACATCTGATAGATAAATCACTGTTGATACATACATCTGATAGATAAATCACTGTTGATACATACATCTGATAGATAAATCACTGTTGATACATACATCTGATAGACAAATCACTGTTGATACATCTGATAGACAAATCACTGTTGATACATACATCTGATAGACAAATCACTGTTGATACATACATCTGATAGACAAATCACTGTTGATAATACATTCTGATAGATAAATCACTGTTGATACATACATCTGATAGACAAATCACTGTTGATACATCTGATAGACAAATCACTGTTGATACATACATCTGATAGACAAATCACTGTTGATACATACATCTGATAGATAAATCACTGTTGATACATACATCTGATAGACAAATCACTGTTGATACATACATCTGATAGACAAATCATGTGATACATAATCTGATAGATAAATCACTGTTGTACATACATCTGATAGATAAATCACTGTTGATACATACATCTGATAGATAAATCACTGTTGATACATACATCTGATAGATAAATCACTGTTGATACATACATCTGATAGATAAATCACTGTTGACATATCACAGCTGCTTCGAGACACTTGCAGCTTTAACACTCTCCCTGATATATATCGTATATATATTTATTGTATGTTAAATACTTAGTATGGAGTGTATGAGGTGTTGTATGTTGTATAACAGTTGTATATTGCTTGTATTAATAAAGATTATTATTATTATTATTATTATTATTATTATATTATTATTATTATTATTATTATTATTATGAGGGTAGAAAGTGTAATTTGTGTTAATTTTTGGCAGATATTTCAGTGTACTTGATTAATTGTGGTTGCAGGGGTCGAGTCACAGCTCCTGGCCTGCTGGTGGTGTGTTGAACATAGCTGTTGAAGTTGGTGGTGATTAGTGGTGGTGACCAGTGGTAGTGTAACCAGTGGTGGTGTGACCAGTGGTGGTGTGACCAGTGGTAGTGTGACCAGTGGTGGTGTGACCAGTGGTAGTGTGACCAGTGGTAGTGTGACCAGTGGCACTGTGACCAGTGTTACTCCTTTTGGTCCTCCCTAGGTGTAAAACACCTTTGAAGCACATGAGATCAGCAGCTGTCTGCTGGAAGGTGCCTGTCTGCTGGAAGGTGCCTGTCTGCTGGAAGGTGCCTGTCTGCTGGAAGGTGCCTGTCTGCTGACGTCCATATATTACGACCTTCAACTTCCTTCTATTTTGCCTATTGGCACTCACCTCTCTGCTGCACATGACGGGTGCCAAGCAACACCTGCAACACTCCTGGCACCTGCAACACTCTTGGCACCCTTGTATACCTCTTCATGTGTGACCCAACAAGAATACTTAAATCATTCTCAAAATTTGATTGTATGGCGGTGAGTACTTTTCTGTGTACGTTATTAATACACACGCACACACACACACACACACACACACACACCACACACACACACACACACACACACACACACACACACACACACACACACACACACGACATACAAAATACTGAGAGGAATTTACAAGGTAGACAAAGACAGGATGTTCCAGAGATTGGACACAGTAACAAGGGGACACAGTTGGAAGTTGAAGACACAGATGAATCACAGGGATGTTAGGAAGTATTTCTTCAGTCACACAGTTGTCAGGAAGTGGAATAGTTTGGGAAGCGATGTAGTGGAGGTAGGATCCATACATAGCTTTAAGCAGAGGTATGATAAAGCTCACGGTTCAGGGAGAGTGACCTAGTATCGACCAGTGAAGAGGCGGGGCCAGGAGCTTGGACTCGACCCCTGCAGCCTCAACTAGGTGAATACAACTAGGTGAGTACACACACACACACACACACATACACACACGCTCACGGAGATCGATTGGGAGAACTTGGACCCACATGGGGGCCAAGATACATGGAGGGCTAAGATGATGGAGGTGGTACTGGAAAACTTCATGCACCAACACGTAAGGGACACTACAAGAGAGAGAGGAGAGGATGAACCAGCACGACTGGACTTAGTATTCACCTTGAGTAGTGCAGATATTGAGGACATCACATATGAAAGACCCCTTGGGGCCAGTGACCATGTGGTTTTAAGCTTCGAATACACAGTAGAGCTACAAGTGGAGGGAGAAGCAGGAAGGCCAGGACGAATGAAGCCAAACTACAAGAAAGGGGACTACACAGGAATGAGGAACTTCCTGAACGGGGTTCAGTGGGACAGAGAACTGGCAGGGAAGCCAGTTAATGAAATGATGGAATATGTAGCAACAATGTGCAAGGAGACTGAGGAGAGGTTTGTACCCAAGGGTAACAGGAATAATGAAAAAGCCAGGATGAGCCCATGGTTTACCCAAAGGTTCAGGGAAGCAAAAACCAAGTGTGCTAGGGAATGGAAGAAATATAGAAGGCAAAGGACCCAGGAGAATAAGGAGAGCAGTCGTAGAGCCAGAAACGAATATGCACAGATAAGAAGGGAGGCCCAAAGACAATATGAAAACGACATAGCAGCGAAAGCCAAATCTGACCCGAAGCTGTTATACAGCCACATCAGGAGGAAAACAACAGTCAAGGACCAGGTAATCAGGCTAAGGAAGGAAGGAGGAGAGACAACAAGAAATTACCGTGAAGTATGTGAAGAACTCAACAAGAGATTCAAAGAAGTGTTCACAGAGGAGACAGAAGGGGCTCCAGAAAGACGGAGAGGTGTGCCACACCACCAAGTGCTGGACACAGTGCACACAACCGAGGAAGAAGTGAAGAGGCTTCTGAGTGAGCTAGATACCTCAAAGGCAATGGGGCCAGATAACATCTCCCCATGGGTATTGAGAGAGGGAGCAGAGGCGCTATGTGTACCCCTAACAACAATATTCAATACATCTATCGAAACAGGGAGATTGCCTGAGGCATGGAAGACAGCAAATGTAGTCCCAATCTTTAAAAAAGGAGACAGACATGAAGAATTAAACTACAGACCAGTGTCACTGACATGTATAGTATGCAAAATCATGGAGAAGATTATCCGGAGAAGAGTGGTGGAACACCTATAAAGGAATGATCTCATCAACAGCAGCCAACATGGTTTCAGGGACGGGTAATCCTGTGTCACAAACCTACTGGAGTTCTATGACATGGTGACAGCAGTAAGACAAGAGAGAGAGGGGTGGGTGGATTGCATTTTCTTGGACTGCAAGAAGGCGTTTGACACAGTTCTACACAAGAGATTGGTGCAAAAACTGGAGGACCAAGCAGGGATAACAAGGAAGGCACTACAATGGATCAGGGAATACTTGTCAGGAAGACAGCAGCGAGTCATGGTACGTGGCGAGGTGTCAGAGTGGGCACCTGTGACCAGCGGGGTCCCACAGGGGTCAGTCCTAGAACCAGTGCTGTTTCTGGTATTTGTGAACGACATGACGGAAGGAATAGACTCCGAAGTGTCCCTGTTTGCAGATGACGTGAAGCTGATGAGAAAAAATCATTCGATCAGAGACCAGGCAGAACTACAAAGGGATCTGGACAGGCTGCAGACCTGGTCCAGCAATTGGCTCCTGGAGTTCAACTCCACCAAGTGCAAAGTCGTGAAGACTGGGGAAGGGCAAAGAAGGCCGCAGACGGAGTACAGTCTAGGGGGCCCAGAAACTACAAACCTCACTCAAGGAAAAAGATCTTGGGGTGAGTATAACACCAGCACATCTCCTGAAGCGCACATCAACCAAATAACTGCTGCAGCATATGGGCGCCTAGCAAACCTCAGAACAGCATTCCGACATCTTAATAAGGAATCATTCAGGACCCTGTACACCGTGTACGTTAGGCCCATATTGGAGTATGCGGCACCAGTTTGGAACCCACACCTAGCCAAGCACGTGAAGAAACTAGAGAAAGTGCAAAGGTTTGCAACAAGACTAGTCCCAGAGCTAAGAGGTATGTCCTACGAGGAGAGGTTAAGGGAAATCAACCTAATGACACTGGAGGACAGGAGAGATATGGGGGACATGATAACGACATGCAAAATACTGAGAGGAATTGACAAGGTGGACAAAGACAGGATGTTCCAGAGATGTGACACAGCAACAAGGGAACACAGTTGGAAGTTGAAGACACAGATGAATCACAGGGATGTTAGGAAGTATTTCTTCAGCCACAGAGTAGTCAGGAAGTGGAATAGTTTGAGAAGCGATGTAGTGGAGGCAGGATCCATACATAGCTTTAAGCAGAGGTATGATAAAACTCACGGTTCAGGGAGAGTGACCTAGTAGCGACCAGTGAAGAGGCGGGGCCAGGAGCTCGGACTCGACCCCTGCAGCCTCAACTAGGTGAGTACACACACACACACACACACACACACACACACACACACACACACACACACACACACACACACACACTCACACACACACACACACACACACACAATATCTGACTCGGAAGATAATTACAAACAATATTCGTTTTTATTCTGAACACTGATACCTAACTAGATGTATAAGAAGGAGCACTGCAGCAGGCCTACTGGACCATGCTAGGAAGGTGTAAGTTACCTACCGGCCCATGCTAGGCAGGTCCAAGTCACATCCACTCAACAAGCGGGGACCCAAGACTCCTAACACTTATTGGTAATCCCCCTTACGTATGCTGTTAGACAGTTGAACAGTCTTGGTCCCCTGACACTTATTGGTAATCCCCCTTACGTATGCTGTTAGACAATTGAACAGGCTTGGTCCCCTGACACTTATTGGTAATCCCCCTTACGTATGCTGTTAGACAGTTGAACAGTCTTGGTCCCCTGACACTTATTGGTAATCCCCCTTACGTATGCTGTTAGACAGTTGAACAGTCTTGGTCCCTTGACACTTATTGGTAATCACCCTTATGTATGCTGTTAGACAGTTGAACAGTCTTGGTCCCCTGACACTTATTGGTAATCCCCCTTACGTATGCTGTTAGACAGTTGAACAGTCTTGGTCCCCTGACACTTATTGTGTTGTCTCAGTGTACTGGTGGCACCGTTGTTGTTCATTGTGGGACTGTTACATCTCCTGCCGAGTCTTTTGCTCTCATAGACAGTGATTTTCGTGTACAAATTAGAGACTAGTGCGTCTAGGGTTATACAAGTGCTTGAAAGGACACAACACAGATCGTCCTCAACCTGCAATCTACTGTGTTGCTCCCTTTTAATTTGCAACAGAGTTGAAAACCCTGAGTCACGAAGGTATGTCAACAAAACTGAAAGCAATAAATGGATGGTCTGTCTGCCACTTTTGTGATGGTACTGCACATCAGGGGGCAGACATCTGTGATTGATGTGTCATGGAAGATGTGTCTTATTCCTAAATAATGGTATTTATACCTACACGGTACAACTTATACAGACCATAGCTCACACCTATGACATACTATATAGAAAGTTCCTGGTTATGTAGAGCATTTCCCACAACTTAGGTTAATTTTGTACCCAGGATGCTACCCACAACAGTCACCAAATACCCAGGTACCTACTTACTGCTAGGTTAACAGTGACAGCAGGTGTAAGGTAACTAACAACCAACTACCTAGTTACTGCTAGGTTAACAGTGACAGCAGGTGTAAGGTGACTAACACCCAGGTACCTACTTACTGCGAGGTTAACAGTGACAGCAGGTGTAAGGTGACTAAAACCCAGGTACCTACTTACTGCTAGGTTAACAGTGACAGCAGGTGTAAGGTGACTAACACCCAGGTACCTACTTACTGCTAGGTGAACAGTGACAGCAGGTGTAAGGTAGCTAACACCCAAGTACCTAGTTACTGCTAGGTGAACAGTGACAGCAGGTGTAAGGTAGCTAACACCCAAGTACCTAGTTACTGCTAGGTGAACAGTGACAGCAGGTGTAAGGTAACTAACACCCAACTACCTGGTTACTGCTAGGTGAACAGTGACAGCAGGTGTAAGGTAACTAACACCCAAGTACCTAGTTACTGCTAGGTTAACAGTGACAGCAGGTGTAAGGTTACTAACACCCAGGTACCTACTTACTGCTAGGGGAACAGTGACAGCAGTTGTTAGGTAACTAACACCCAACTACCTAGTTACTGCTAGTGAACATAAAGGGAGTGTAAGGTTACAAACCCCCCGGAAACCTACTTACGGGTAGGGAAACATGACAGCAGTTAAGGTAACAAACCCCCCAACTACGTATTACTGCTAGGTGAACAGGACAGCAGGTGTAAGGTTACAAACACCCAGGTACCTACTTATGCAGGGAAACAGTGACAGCAGGTGAAAGGGTAACAAACACCCCAACTCCCGGGTTTGTAGGTAACAGTGACAGCAGGTGTAAGGTTACTAACACCCGGTACCTACTTACTGCTAGGGAAACAGTGACAGCAGGTGTA